CTCAACGCAACCTCCGCCTCCCGGGTTCAAGCGATTCTCCTGCCTCAGCCTCCCAAGTAGCCGGGATTACAGGCATATGCCACCACACCTGGCTCATTTTGTATTTTTAGTAGAGATGAGGTTTCTCCATGTTGGTCAGGTTGGTCTCAAATTCCTGACCTCAGGTGATCCACCCACCTCAGCCTCCCAAAGTGCTGGGATTATGTGCGTGAGCCACTGCGCCCAGCCTCCTTAGGCTCTTACTCTAAGCTCTTACCATCTTTTTTCTAGGGCATGTTAATAGACTCCCAAAACTTAATCTCTGTATCTGCTTTGTGCCTCTGGTCAGTTCTTTGTCCTGCATGGGGTACTCCAGCATTCAGACCTTGTTCCAGACAGCTAATATTTCCCCAGCCACTCAGCATGTGACTGCTGATGTATCAGCAGGTTTTCATGTTGACAATATCATCTACTTACATTGTTTAATCAGCAGTCCTTACACATTCCTCTCAACCTCTCATACCGGTAGCTTCTCTCTTCTCCTGATGAAAGAGATCTTGCCCTTGGCCACTGTCAGTTTTTTTGAAGAGTTTGTATCGCACCTTTTCATGGACATTTTTTCTTCACTTATATTCTGCTTGTCTTGTAACTTCATCCTTTCTGTACTCAACATAAAAAATGCTCAACTTCCTTATCCTTGAAGAAAATTAAACAATTCAGTGTTCATGGTTCACAGTATATTCATATATTCATTCACTCTCTGAGCACTTAATTGTTTACGTTTTTATATCAGTGATGCTGTGGACATTTATATATGTTGTTCATCTTTCACATGTGTAGGGGCACATTTTTGATGTTTCTGGAGTGAAATAATTGGATTATAAACTATGCAAATGTTCTAGTTTGCAAGATCATTCTCATTGTTTTCTAAAGGGCCTATATCAAAAAATTCCTCTCAGGAATTTTTGGAAGTTTCCATTGATCCATATCCTATCTAGTACTTGAAACTATAAGGCCCCTCAATTTTTGCTGATCAAATGGAAACAAAATATTTTTATCTCTTGTGCTCTTGATTTGCATTTTCCTCATGGGTAAGGTTGTTTAGTGTCTTTCACAATTCTGAGCCAATCTGTATTTTCTTCTGTGAGATGTTATTTGGTGATAAATGCCTATTTTTCAATTAACTTCTTTGGCTTTCTCTTTTTATTTGATTTTTATACATTCTAGATACCTATCTTTTATCAGTTACATTTGCTGCAGGTATATTCTTCTAGTTTTTAATTTTGTCCTTCCACTCTCTTTAAAGTATCTTTTGTTCAGTGAGTTCCTTACATAGTGTAGTCTGATTTGTGGTTTTTTTTACGTGATTAATGATTTTGTGCCTTGTGGAAAAAATGTGCTTTACCCTAATATTGAAAAGGTATTCTTGTTTATTTTATTGTCAGTTGTAAAACTTGCCATTTGGCATTTAAGTCTTTATCAATCTGAAGTTGGTTTTGAGTATAAAATGTGATAGAATACAATATTTCCATTCCCCATGTGGGTAGCCAATTTTTCTAGCTCTATTTCCTTAGTAGTCTCTCACTACTGAGGTGCTGTGCCTCCTTGCCATCTACCAAAGCCCCATCTGTGTGCAAGGGGATTTCTGAGCTCTCCGTTCTTCTTTATTCCCAGTTGGCATCGTGTCTGTGCCAGAGTGGTACCTCTGCCTTATGAGCCCTGTCCTGAGAGTGGCACTGCTCTTCACAGCTGTCACCTAGGTCAGAATGTTAGGAATCAGTTCCTCTGTGCCTCTTCTTTCCCTAGATTCTCATCACCACAACCCTCTCATGTGCTATAGCTCATTTGCATATTCTGTCTCCTAAGGCTATAGTGTCTTTCCCACTTTCTCTCGTGACCAGTAGGACTTACTTCACTGGGTATCTTCTACTGGAAAAATGCCTTGACCTTTTTCTACCCAGGATTAGCCAAACTCAAGATTAAGGACACAGTCCTCCAGGACTTTGTCAAGTCTGCCCAAATCCTCTAATTCCAACTGCAAATTCAGGGATTTCCTGAAACCACCCTCAGGTTTCATAACTTGCTAAAAAGATCCACAAGACTTTCTAAAACCTATTATGCTCACAGTTTTGTTTATTACAGACAAAGCAGACAAATTAGAAGAGGACACAGGATATGGGGCTGAGGGTGTTCCAAACACAAAGCTTTCTCGGTGACTTGTTACCCACCCAGCATTGATGTGTAAAATATGTGCACAGAGCATTGCAAACCCAGGAAACTCAGTGGAGCTCTGGTTTTTAGAGTTTGTTGAGCTTTATTACACAAGCGCAGTTGATCGAGACATTGCCCATAGTGCCATGTGAAGTTTCCAGCCTTCGCCCCTTTTCCAGAGTTCAGCTGATATCTTGTGGCTCAGGGACCTAACCTTCTACTCACGGGTTGGTCTTTCTGGTGCCACCAGACCTCAGCCAGAGTCATCTATTTAGGATAAACTATTTAGGGACCCGTAATGAGTTACCTTTATGTAAATATTCAGTCTGGAATTGAGGCGGTGTCTCCACCCTAGGCCTTGTCCCCTCACCTGGTCTCTCTGCCTGGTCTCCCTCTCAAGGAGTCAGGAATCCAAGGTAAAGAAAGGAAACAAATTACAGACCTGGGGTTCAAGATGGGAAAATATAACAGACATAAAGGCACCATTTACAACTTCATTTTTTTCACTGAAGTGGGATTTTGTTTCTTCTCTTTTTACATTACTAACAGGCCCTTTTGTGTATCGGATTTCTTTCAGGTGACAAAGGAAAACCTGAGAACCCAGAACCTACCACCTGTGAGCTAGCCTTGTCTGAAGAAATCTCATTCTGGAGACAACTAACACAAGGAGCTTCAGGGGACTCCCAGTTGGGGCAACCCAAGGATCAGGATGGGTTTTCAGAAATGCAGGGAGAGCACTTGAGACCAGGGTTAGATTCCCAAAAGGAGAAGCTTCCTGGAAAAATGAGCCCCAGACATGATGGTTTAGGGACAGCTGATGGTGTGTGTTCAAGGGTTATACAGGATCAGGTCTCCTTAGGAGATGATGTCCGTGACTGTGACTCTCATGGATCAGGTGAAAATCCAGTGATTCAGGAAGAGGAGAATACCTTTAAATGCAGTGAATGTGAAAAAGTGTTTAACAAGAAACGTCTGCTTGCTCGGCATGAGAGGATTCACTCTGGAGTGAAGCCCTATGAATGCACAGAGTGTGGAAAAACCTTTAGCAAGAGTACGTACCTCCTGCAGCACCACATGGTCCACACTGGGGAGAAGCCCTATAAGTGCATGGAGTGTGGAAAGGCTTTTAATCGGAAGTCACACCTTACCCAGCACCAGCGGATTCACAGTGGAGAGAAGCCTTACAAGTGCAGTGAATGCGGAAAGGCCTTCACCCACCGCTCCACTTTCGTCTTGCATAACAGGAGCCACACTGGAGAAAAACCCTTTGTGTGCAAAGAGTGTGGCAAAGCCTTTCGAGATAGGCCAGGTTTCATTCGACACTACATCATCCACAGTGGTGAGAATCCCTACGAGTGCTTTGAATGTGGCAAGGTCTTCAAACACAGGTCATACCTCATGTGGCACCAGCAGACTCACACCGGGGAGAAGCCCTATGAGTGCAGTGAATGTGGGAAGGCCTTCTGTGAGAGCGCAGCCCTGATTCACCACTATGTCATCCACACTGGGGAGAAGCCCTTTGAGTGCCTCGAATGTGGGAAGGCTTTCAACCACCGATCGTACCTCAAGAGGCACCAGCGGATTCACACTGGGGAGAAGCCTTATGTGTGTAATGAATGTGGAAAGGCCTTTACCCACTGCTCTACTTTTATCTTGCATAAAAGGGCCCACACTGGAGAAAAGCCTTTTGAGTGCAAAGAATGTGGGAAAGCCTTTAGCAATAGGGCAGACCTTATTCGACACTTCAGCATCCACACTGGAGAGAAGCCCTATGAGTGCATGGAGTGTGGAAAGGCCTTCAACCGCAGGTCAGGCCTCACAAGGCACCAGCGGATTCATAGTGGAGAGAAGCCCTATGAATGCATTGAGTGTGGGAAAACATTTTGCTGGAGCACAAACCTCATTCGACACTCCATCATCCACACTGGAGAGAAGCCGTATGAGTGCAGTGAATGTGGAAAGGCCTTCAGTCGCAGCTCATCCCTCACTCAGCATCAAAGGATGCATACTGGGAGAAATCCTATCAGTGTAACAGATGTGGGAAGACCTTTTCCAAGTGGGCAGACCTCAGTCAACATCCAAGAACTTTTATTGGGGAAAAACTTTTTGAATGTCACCACTGAGGAAAATCTTTTGCAAGAGGAAGCATCTTACATGGCATCTGATCATACCTACCAAAGAGAAACCCCACAAGTGTCTTCACTGTGAGAAAACCTTCTGTTGCCAAATGTCATTTGTCACCTAAGGAGTCATATTAGAAAATCACACAGCTTAGAGCCTTATTCTCCATCTGAATTCATCCTGGAAAAACACCCAGTGGTTATTATGCACTTAGGAAAACCTTTAGCTCCATCTTTGTCGTTAGTTTACAGTGCAGTGTTATCTCAGGAATTTTTATAAAAAGAGGTGACATAGAAAAAATGAAATGCAGACACTGCTTCTTTTATACTGTTGTCTTATATGTACGTTTCTGTCCCACGTCAGAAAAGTTAGTAAGGCAAGGTCTTCTTTGTTCTGCAACATTGTCTCTTCTTAAGAAGCATTGTTTTTATGAGAAATATGAAGGCTTGAGTTATGAAATACTTTTATATTTAAGGATTAAAGGAAACATGAATGCGCACGTTTTATTCCACCACTTAAGACTGTTTTAAGTCTTTGATTTGGAGAAAAAAAAAAATCCTTTTTTAATGGGTATTGAACACTTAACACAGAATTTTTCTTGATTCCCATCTGTTGGTTTACTTGATTGCTATAGCTGTATGGTAAATCTCAAAATTAGGTAATGTGATTTCTTTTTTCTTATTTTTATTTAAAATTCATTTAGCATTCCTAGTTTCTTTGACTTTCCATATACACTTTAGGATTGATTTTTCTGTTTTTCAAATATTCTTGCTTGGATTTTGATATAATTGAGTTACACCTGTAGATCAATATGTTGAGTATTGGCATCTTAGCCTTCCAATTCATGAACATGGCATATCTTTTCATTTATTTAAATTTTCTTTGATATATTTCATTACTGTTTTATAGTTTACACAGTATAACTCCTGCACATTTAAAATAAGATTTATAGCTTCATAGTTTTTTGCGTGATTATAAATGGCATTGATTAAAGTTTCAGTTTTCATATGATGTTGGCTAGTATACAGAAACATTATTTTTTCCATCTTATTTTGCTGTCTTGCAACTTTCCTAAACTCATCATTTCTTGCCATTTCCTTTGGGATAATCCTTAAGATTTTAAACATAGAAATATCATTTGCAATTTGGGACAGTTTTATTTCTTGCTTCCCATCTGTACACCTTTTATTTACTTTTCTCATGTTACTGCACTAGGTAGGATTTCCAGTGTGATACTGAATACAAATAGTGACAAGTTATCCATGCCTTGTTCATGATATTAGGGGGGAAATGTTCGGTTTCTCATTAATATGATGTTGAAAGTTTCTTCCAAAGAGTTTCTCTATCAAGTTTAGAAAGTTTCTCTCTATTCCTAATTTGCTGGGATTTTTTAGTTATTATTAATAAGTGTTGAATTTTGTCACTTGCTTTTTCTCCACCGATTGATTTAATTATGTCATGTTACTTCTGTAGTCAGTTGATGTGTTACCTTGACTGAGTTTTGAGTATGGAACCAGCCTCACATCCTTGTGATAAGCCCTACTTGCTCATGGAGTATAATTTTGTTTGTATACTATGCAACAGTATTTCATTTGCTAGTATTTTGTTGAGGAAGCTTCCCTCTAATTTCATGAGTGATAATCTGTAGTTTTTTTTCCTTCAACTGTTACTGTTTGGTTTTGATGTCTAGATGATAACTAGCCTTCTAACATGAGTTGGAAGGAATTATCTTCTGTTTTTTTGGAAGATCCTATGTAGAGTCGGTGTTATTTGTTCCTTTAATGTTTGGTAGCATTCTCCAGCAAACAAGTGGGACCTGGAGATTTTCCTTTTGGATGCTTTTTAATTATGTATTTATTTTATTTAATAGGTATAGAACTATTCAGAGTATTTCATATTGGATGAATTTTTATAGATTTTCTTAAGGAAGTGTTCATTTTATGTAAATATTCTCATTTGTAGCATTCTTTGAAATATTTCCTTTTAGCCTCTTGTTGGCAGCAGGATCTGTACTTATGTTCCTTGTTGTATTCTTGATATTGAAAATGTATCACTTATTGTCAGTCTTTGTAGGCATGTGTCAATTTCATTGATCATTTCAAAGAAATAGCACTTTATATCACTGATTTTTCTCCACTTTCTGTTCTTAATTTCACTGATACCTGCTCTGATCTGTATTGTATCCTTCCTTCTACTTGCTTTGGTTGTATTTGACTCAGTGGTTTCCTGAGGTGGATGTTTAGGTTATTGATTTGAGGCTTTTTTCTTTTTTCATATAAGCTTTAAGTTCTATACATTTTTCTTACAGTGCTGTTAGTTTCATCCCACAAGTTTTAATATGTTTTTGATTATCTTACTCAGTTCTAAGATTTCCTGATTCCTTTTGAGACATCTTCTCTAACCCATGAATTATTTAGAAGTATATTGTTTAATAGTATTTGGAGTATTCCCTGCTATTTGTTACTGATTTCTAATTTGTTTTGCATTTGATGTTACTGTTTAAATTTGTTGACTTTTTTTCCTTATGATCCAGGATATAGGCTATCTTGTTTTATATAGCTGCTTGAAAAGAATGTGTGTTCTTGGTCATTGGGTGGAGTTTCTATAAATGTTTGTATGATCCTGTTAGTTGGTGGTGTTATTTAGGTCTCCTATATCCTTGCTGATTTTCTGTCTAGTATTTCTATCAATTGCCAAGAGAAGGATGTTGAAGTCCCAAACTATAATTGTGGAATTATCTATTCCTCCTTTAAGTTCTATCAGTTTTTGCTCCACATAATTTAAAGCTCTGTTGTTTGATATATACACATATAGGTTTGCTTAGTAGTCTTGCTGTATTGACCCTTTTATAACTAAGTAATGTCCTTTTTTGCTTCTGTTAATACTCTTATCAATTTTTATCTGATATTCGTGTGGTCACTCGTACATTTTGGGTTAATGTTTGCATGATTTATACATTTTCATCATTTTTTAAAACCTTATCTGTATCACTATATTTGGAGTAAGTTTCTTGTGAACAGCATATATGTGGGTTGTGATTTTATATCCAGTTTGCATATCTTTTTTTTTTTTTTTTTTGAGACAGAGTCTGACTCTGTCGCCCAGGCTGGAGTGCAGTGGCGCGATCTTGGCTCACTGCAAGCTCCGCCTCCCGGGTTCATGGCATTCTCCTGCCTCAACCTCCTGAGTAGCTGGGACTACAGGTGCCCGCCACCACACCCGGCAAATTTTTTTGTATTTTTAGTAGAGACAGGGTTTCACCATGTTAGCCAGGATGGTCTTGATCTCCTGACCTTGTGATCCGCCCACCTCGGCCTCCCAGAGTGCTGGGATTACAGGCTTAAGCCACTGCACCTGGCGTTTTTTTTTTTTTTGAGACGGAGTTTTGTTCTTGTTGCCCAGGGTGGAGTGGAGTGGTGTGATCTTGGTTCACTGCAACCTCCGCCTCCTGGGTTCAAGTGATTCTCCTGCCTCAGGCTCTTGAGTAGCTGGGATTACAGGCATGTGCTACCACGCCTGACTAATTTTTTGTATTTTAATAGACATGGGGTTTCACCGTGTTGGCCAGGCTGGTCTCGAACTCCTGACCTTGGGTGATCCACCTGCCTCGGCCTCCCAAAGTGCTAGGATTACTGGTATGAGCCACCGCACCCGGCTTTTTTTTTTTTTTTTTTTTTTTTGAGATGGAGTCTTGCTCTGTCACCCTGGCTGGAGTGCAGTGGCGCAATCTGCAACCTCCGCCTCCCAAGTAGCTTGGATTACAGGTTCCTGCCACGACACCTAGCTAATTTTTGTATTTTTAGTAGTGACAGGGTTTCATCATGTTGGCCAGGCTGGTCTCAAACTCCTGACCTCAGGTGATCCGCCTACCTCAGCCTCCCAAAGTGCTGGGATTAAAGGTATGAGTCACTGTGACTGGCCCCAGTTTGCATATTTCTGTCTTTTATTGGTGTATTTAGACCATTTAAAGTTTACAATAATTATGTTAGTGTTATGTCTACTATTTTATGATTAGTTTTTTGGTTTTTTGTGTTTCCTGTTGCTTCTTTCTTGAGTTTTTTGGGTTTGTTTGTGTTTTGGTCTTGAACATTTTTTAGAATTCCATTTGATATATTTGTAGTGTTTTTAAAATATATTTCTTTGTATTAATTTTTTTAGTGGTTGCTTTAAGTAGTATAATGTACATATGTAACATAATTACAGTTAATGGTATGAAAAATTTAGCACTTTGATGTATAGAAACCTTACTTCCATTGGTCCCTTTACCTTGCCTGTTAATATAATTGTCTAAAGTAATTCCTCTTCAAAATTGAGCACCATGTTGGAAAACGTAATTTTTGCTTCCACTGTCAAATATATTTTACAAAAGTCACAGCAACCATTGCTTGTTGATCTCTTTACCCATTCCACTATTCTTTCTTGAAATTCTAAGCCACCTTCTATTAACATTTTCTTTCTGTTTGGCGAACTTCTTGTAGCCTTTTTTCTAGGGTCGGTCTGCTGGTGTCTCTAAAAGTGTCTTTATGTTCCCTTCATTCCTGAGGGATATTTTTGTGCGATACAGGATTTAGGGTCTGCAGTTCTTTTAGTACTTGAGAAACATGTTTGTTCCTTCTGTCTGCTATGCTTTCAGATGAGAAGTCTGTTACCATTTGAACCGCTGTTCCCTAGTTCGTAATGAGTCATTTTTATCAACCTGCATTCAAAGTGTTTTTTTGTTTGTTTGTTTTTGTAGCAGTCAGAAGTTTGGTTATGAGATGTGTGACATGAAATTTTTTTGAGTGTGTATCCTGTTTGGTTTTTTTCAGCTTTTTGATCTGTAGGTTTATGCCCTTTGCCAAATTTGGGAATTTTTAACCATTATTTCTTGAAATATTTTTTCATCACTACTCTTTCTCCTCTCTGGAACTCCAGTGATATGAATGGTAGATCTTTTGTTACTGTCTTAGAGGTCTCTTGTGCTTTCATGTTTACCCCCTTTTTCTGGTCTGTTTTTCCCTTTTTTTCATATTGGTTAATTTCTGTTGACTTTTTTTCAGCTCACTGATTCTTTTTTTTTTTTTTCTGTCATATGCAGTCTACTGTTGAGCTTGTCCAGTGAATTTTCATTTTGGTTTTTGTATTTTTCAGTTGTTTAATTTCCATTTGGTTCTTTTGTACATCTTTGATTTCTTTGCTTAGTTTATAATACTAAAAGGGCACAGAAAACAGACAAAACTAAATTCCAAAGTCATGGTTTTCTGGTGGTTTGTCTCAATATTTGAATAGAAATCCTGAATTATCTGGAGGAGTAGAAGTCCTGTAGTCTTTTATATTGGGCTCCTTAAATATTTCTGTCAACAGATCTTATAACTGAGGGTGATCTGCGTATGCATTCAGAGTTACATACTCCAGGGGAAGGTTGTATGTAAAATCCTCCAGCTCTGTAAGCCGTGTTATATCCTTAATGGAGAAGGGATCATTCCTCTTCTAAAATCACTCTTACACATTTTT